CGCGTTGGATTATAAGAAGGTTGCGAGTATTTGCGAGAAGTTTAAGGACTCGGCTGATGGGATTTTCGGCAGCCTATCGAACAGAGCTTCTAAGCAGAGCGCGAGGAAGAAGTCGTTGGATATGCTGAAGAAACGGCTGAGGGACTTCAACTGAGAGGGGAGCTTCTAGAACTTTCTCAGACCCGATTTAGAGTTAGGTTTGAGTTTTTTCTTGCGTTTCTTTAGGTTTTTATATAATTGTGTATCGTTCTTATATCGTTTTATATTAAGTATTCTTTATCAGAGCGTACGTAGCTCCGCATGGATTTTATTCTTTCTCCAGCTAATATCAAGAATGAAGTTGATGAGTATCTCAAGGTGAAACATTAATGAAAACCACATCAAATATTTATTTATTTTTTCTTAGTAATCAAGAGAGAATCTGTTTTGGGTTGTTAAGGGATAAATTATTAGCTAGTTATCAGTTTTGGAGAGCATTTGTGACGCCGACTTCTCTTGTATTCATCCTGATTTTTTTTCCCTTTGCTTGTATGACTATGCTACAGACGAGGGCACAAGGGTCCTCTTTTCTTTCTGAGTTGAAACAAAAGCTACTACTTTCTCCAATTGATGCTGCTCGTGCTGGGACCTGCTACAATGTTCCATTGATAAATTCCCTTGTTCTTTATGTCGGAATGCAGGTAAAATCAGTCCCCATTATAGTCACCAATGAAGTATATTCAATATGATAAATGATAATTTACCGACAGTACCCTTGAGTTCTGCGACCTATATACAGGAAATCCCTAATTTTTCAAGATCACAATAGTTTTCTCAATCAGTACAGAAACTCATGGGTTCATTTTCGTAACAGCTTTCTTAAAATTGAAATTCTGGTGTTACAAATTCGATGAGTAATGCAACCTTCTATGAGCACTTAACCAAATAATCATGAAGCTTTATCCTTCATTATACCTGAGAACCTTCTGAAACTCTATCTATAGGCTATTCAGCAGCTGCAAGCAAGAGCCCCCTTCTCAATCCATGGCGAATATGAATGCCTTCTTAATGAGTGCTGCGTTGGACATTTTCCAAACAGTTGGTAATGGAACTTGACACAGAGGGTCGCTAACTATTCCTGAATGCCGTCGCTAACCAATTGCGCTATTCCAACAATCACTCTCATTACTTCTCTTTCATCCTCCTTTACTTGTTTGCTGAGTCTAACCAGGTATGTAAATTTCCTCAAAATTGACTCATCATTTTTTTTTTGCCATTAATGCACGAATATGATGAATGAGACTGACTATACATTTAAAACTTCTAGCAGGAAATGATTCAGGAGCAAATAACGAGGGTCCTGCTGGAACGTCTGATAGTTAACAGGCCTCATCCATGGGGACTTTTGATAACATTTATCGAGCTCATCAAGGTAATTGTTAATTTCTCCTCCAATTTCATGGTCAATTAAATTTGCGTGATTTTTCTCGTATACCCACATTTTTGTTCTTTTTTGCATGGCAGAACCCAAGGTACAACTTTTGGAGTCGGAGTTTCACGAGATGTGCGCCTGAGATTGAGAAGCTGTTTGAGTCAGTGTCTAGGTAGTGTCGTGTCTGGCGGAATCCCTGACAGTATGCATTAAGACCTCTGTAACTGTAAATGCTATGTAGAATTGTGACAATTTGATTTGTAAATACAGTCCTTGCTGTTGGTTGGTCCAGGCTATATATACGATCTGGGCATCTCATACTTACGACACTGAAAGTGAAAATAGTACTGAATATATTGCCCTTTTATTGTTCATTTTCATTGTTTTTGTATGTGTGTGTTTGTGTGTGTGTGTGTATATATATATAAGTAGAACGATTTAACATTAATAGACTGGACACAAACAACGTTTATTGTCTTGTTTGTTACATGAACAACTGCGGACACTGACAATATAACCCAACTCACACGACACGATCTTTATTTGTACACAAACTTGTTTGTCAATTCTAAGACATCAACCTTAACCAACCTAATTAAAGTCGCAAGCAAATCTCTATAACATTGCAAACTCATCTCTATCATAAACTTCTAAATCATTGTTTCCTGCGACAAGCACAACCACTAATTTCTGATTCAATAGGCCTAGCACTGTCAAAAGTCAAAACGGGTCATGGCCCACGGG